GTTGTCTTGGGAGAAGGAAGGAAAAAGGAGTAATGGAAGGATCACAGTTACTCTTACAGATTACTCCTCCCTGCTTTTACTGTGTCTATTTCTTCTGTGATTTTTTTTCCTCTGATCCCTGCTAGATCCCTGGACAATGGCATACAGCAAAAACTTCAAGAAGAAATTCTTCTTCAACAAAATGACCAATGTAGCGACATACAACCTCCTTCCTGAAGCCATTGCACCCTTTCAGTGAGTATGAGCCAGAGCTGAGGCTATGGATGAGTATGTGTCTGCCAGTGTGTGTGTGCGTGCCTGGGTGTTTGGGAGGGAGCTCTGCAGGGCTGTGTCCTTGCAGTCGTTTGCAGTGCAAGTGTAGCTGATCACCAGAAGGGTGTGCTGCAGGAGCTGACACCTTGTCAGGCTGTCAGGAAACTGCTGATGTGGAATCATGGATTTTGCAATTAATGGCTATGAATAGCGAACATGTCGCAACTTCGTTCCGCTGTCTGCAGCAGACTACAAGTTACTGAACCTCCTGCATGCAGGGAAGTAGAAATTGAGCCCAGCAACTGTAGTTTGCTGCATCTCTGTATTTAACATGTTTGGTTGGAAGTTGCTAATTTAAAAGCAAATCCCAGCTCATTTAGCCCAGGCTCTGAATAACCTGTGGGAAGCTGGGAGCTTTTTTAAAGAGAGTGAGAGAATAAAACAGTAGCTCTTTGGGAAAGGATGGAGTGGCATGCCATTGGACAGTTATTAACATTGTGGCTGCTGAAAACCATCCCTATCTACTGAGTACTAGGCTGAGGGCATTACCCAAGTACAGCAAATCCTGAGTCTGATGCCTCAGGGCTCCTGAGCAGAGATGTTCTGCACTACTACCATTACTCAAGACTGCCTCTGAGTAAGAACTTGATATGAAATAGCACTCCTGATTTTATCACTTTGAACCTCCTTACTGTCTTAGAGCAGTGCTTTCAAGAATCCTTAAGCCTTTCTTCATGTGGTGAATGGCAGAACAGGCTTAAAAGGAGAGGCACATGATGTTTTTTCCCTCCGTGTGTCAGGGTGGGGTTAGTTCTGCCTATGTACTCTGAAATAGGCTAGCATGAATCTACAGGAATGGCTGAGGAGGTGGAGGGAGTGCTTGTGTGGGACTCCAGAAGGGATGTGTTGTGGTTAGTGAGTACTAATATGTCTATAATTAGCCACTGACATGTGCTCTTGTCGCTGTGCTGGTACTGCTTTGTTAGAACAGGAGCATTAAATAAGCTATGAATATTAAGTGTCAGTAATTGTACAAAACTAAAGGCTGCTGTGTTGGCAGTAATTAGCAGCTCTGATTTCATTATGGCTGGGACTGTGTTGATGCAGTGAGGGAGGGCTGTGCTCCATGGATGGAGTGGGAGATGGCATTGTAGGACCAGAACTCTCAGCAGCAAAGCAGGGCTCAGTTATTTCACATGAGGGGAAGGAGGGAATGATCCTAGCTGCTTTTGTGCCGTGGGAAGTGCTGTTTGTTTGCAAAGCTACATAGGACAGCTGTTACTGATTATGGTAGGTATGCGGTGAGGGATTAGGTTGCTGCTCCTGGCAGACTTTCTAAATTCTTCATTAAGGTCTTTCCATTGCCTGCAATGACAGCTTCATCCTCTGAGAAACTTAGGGGGAGGTAGAGTTTTCCCCTAGTGACCTGACTCCTTCCAGCAAATACTGAACTGAATTTGAGTGAAGCTAGAATTAACAAGTTTGTTTCCATGGAAATCTCTTAGGCTTGGCTGTTGCTGTACTTTGAGGGCTGTAGAGTTTGTAATGTGTATGAATAAATGCACTGGTCTTTTCTAAGGCACCTGCTCTGAGTATTCCTGTGTGGCTCTCATAGCAAGGGCAGCTGTCTCTCACTGGGATGGAAGTGTTTTCCTTTCCCTTCCCTGCCAAACTAACCTTGCTCTCCTCTCTGCCCACAGTGTCTGCCATTACAGCCGCCTCTTCTGGGAATGGGGGGAAGGTGTCAAAGTGCACGACTCTCAGAAAAGACAAGATCCAGAGAAGCTATCAAAGGAGACTGTTCTGTCTTTCATCCAAGCACACTACCCCTAACCCTGCTCTCCTGAGGGTGCAGGGAGGGGCTGAGCCCAGCTTGGATTCTTCAGGGACTGATGGGACTGGGAAGGCTCCACAACTTCTATTCTGATATTCTCCAGAGCTGATTTCCTGGAGATGCTGGAACCAGAGGGTGGTATGCAGAAGGCACAGGATGAGGCTTTGCCCTGGTAGTGTATATAAGAGTACAGCCCAGGTAGCACCTGCTGCCAGAGTACCCAAGGTGACTCCTGGAGCCGAGGCCTAATGTCCTTTTGTCCTGACCTACTGCATGCATGAGGCCAAGGGGCTGGCAGCTTTCTGTGCTCCTATTCAAACATTCAGCAAGGTTTGTGGAGCTCTGTGTGTGCCAGAACTCCCCAGGCTTCTGCTTCTCTTGCAGTGTGGGAAGGAGCAGAGATGTTTTGATGGCAGAGCTGGGCAACAGCACATTGAAGAGCCCCTGCATTGCTCCTGGCAGCTCTCTCCTTGGCCTTGTCAAAGGCTCCACTATCCAGTGGAGGGTGTTAAGTCTTTGGTGAGCTGTGGGCAAAAGTTATATATTCTTGTCAGTGTCTCCAATGCTTCTGTTTATCAAGGCACTCAGCTAGCCACTGGCAATTCTTATGTGATGGTTCCCTGTTGGAAAAAGGCCAATGCAGGTGATGAGTACAGTTCCTGGCATAGATCTGATGTGCTCACACCTCTGCAAGCTGCTGTGACAAGGATTTCCCGTCTCCAGGTTAATGACTGATGCCAAGCCAGCAGCCTGGGGCTAATTTGTGAAAATGTGCCATGGTTGGTGTATGTGCTTCATGGTACTTCTGGGACCAAGGTGCTTTGGTTCTTGGTACTTAACATTATCACCTAAACCTTCAGCGAGGAAAGTGAATGTGGGAGGGAAGACATAGAAAAGCTAGGATGCTGAAGTCCCTGGAAGAAATGATGGGAATATCCAACTTAGTTAAAAAGACCCAGGGCTTCAGTAGAAAGATATTTCAACTTTAACCATGTAGGTTAATAAGAAGCAATTCCTGTCCCCTGACTGTACCCACTGGAAAGGTAACCAGACTTTCCTTTTAAAATACCAGACTGGCTTTGAAATCCTCTGTATCCTGTTTGACTCTGGAACTGCATCTGAGGTGAAGGCACAGAGCCAGGAAACTCCTCTCAGTATGGCATTTGTGTCAAGACTTCTCCATGCACTTCTGTGCCAGGCTCAAAGTTGGCTTCTGTTGCATGTTTTACCTTCATTTCTGGTTTCTGTGGCACTTTGCCAAGTCTTCCACATAAATCAGAAGATAACACATAGTTGAACGCTTTGGGATAAACAGCAAGACAGTCCAATTTTTGTTTTGTTTTGTTTGTTCTTGGCTTGTTTTTAAACACTGATTGGCAGTAGGGAGAAAAGTGATTTAGTGGTTTATCTGAACTGTGCCTTAAGGAAAGCTATAGTTCTAGTATCTATAGTTCTAGTTTAGACTGTCTTTTTCTTCACATCCATATGAATGAACAAACCTGTGCAGCAAGACATAGAAACCTTGACTTAGACACAGGTCTGTCAAAGCAGTTGAAGGACTGCAGGCTGTTAGTGCATCCTCTTGGCTGATCTGTAGACCCTCTCTGCTCTCAAACATTGGTAAAACGTGTATGAAAGAAATGGTGGCTCTTCCCCCTAAGCAAGAAGTGTGTCATTAGTAGCTTTGTCTTGGCAAAGGCACTTCCATGAGGGATGGGGAGGAATCTCTCCCAGTGGGCAATAAAGTACCTCAACCTCTGGTGTCCAGCCCTGTGTGCAGTTGGCTTTTTAAACCAACCAGCAAATTGAGTTCTAAGGACCTCTGTGGACTGCCTTGAGGCTGTTCCAGTGCCAGCAATGCATGCTGCCCCCTCTGCCAGGCTCCTTTGCAGTGTTGTGTCCTCAGCTCAGAGCTTTGACTCCTGGGGGCTGGCAGACAGAAGAGTGACTAGGAAGTAAACCAGGATCAGTGTAGGCCTTGGAGGGTACAAAAAAACTTGGTCAGTCTGCAGGCTAGCTTTTATGAATAATGCTTTGTTTATTCAGTTGTCTCTAGTTGCTCATTTTAATTTGCTTTTATTTTTATTTTTGATGCACTGAACCTTGATTCTAAATCTCCCTTCAAGAAGGCAGGCATGAGCCACCAAGCTACTTGCTTCCCTGCTGAGGGATTATGTTGGGAAGGGCGGGTGAGGAAGGTCTTGCTGAAGGGAGTGTTTATGTATGTTAATTGCACAATGTATTGTTATTAGGCTTTGTATCATTTTGTGTTGACTTCTGTGCTTTCATGTTCTATTACCAATACAGCCCCTTTAGTTCTCAGCAGTCCTTCTTTCCTTTGCTTCCCATACAATTCGGGCCAGCAGTGCCTGTCAGTGTGGCAGCAGAGAAATGTCAGCAGAGTTAAATATTCAAGGCAGTTCCATTTTAAAAGTTTTTGTGGCAACTTTAGAGCATTGGAATGAGAGGGCATTACAGGGGACAGTCTCTGGAATTCCTGCAGCATGGGTAGGCTCCTGTTCCAGTCAAAGGAAGTACATTCCAGGCCACAACAGAGCAGTAACCCACTGTTGAGAGCTCACTGACCAGGGGCTTAAGTGCCTAACTTAGTCTAGGCTTACCATAGTGCACTATGTGCCAGTAAGGAAACAGGAGGATAAGAATAAAGCAGTGACTGAGAAACAGGACAGAACAGGGGAAAAAAATCCACCAAATAAACAAAACAGAAAATTAAAAGGTCAAATTATTTTATTTAAAGCTTTACAGAAGCACTTTCATCTCTGGGGGTTGATGGTAAATTGTCTTCTGCAAACACTGATTCTCAAAGGCACAAAATGGCTACCAAGCTCTGATGCACTGGAGAGGTAGGCAGATCATCTCACAGTCCAAGCACCCATATCTCAGTGTGGATACCTACATGCCATCTGCTTTTGTGGATGTAGGATTCCTTTGGTCCTGGAAGTCAGGGTGGAGGAGGAAGCATCTTTAGCTCAGCTCTGGGAATATATAGAATTGCAACACCTACAGATTACCCTTTGCATCAAGAGCTTGGTCCCTTCAGTTTATGACTGTGTCACAGGAGCCAGGGTGTGTATTCCACCTGGGCTGGGCAGAAAGCACCTGTCTGTAATCACAAAAGTCCTCTTCAAAAGGGAGAATGTATTGCCTTCCTGGATCAGGCTGCATGGTCCTGACTGTGTTTTGGCTAAGATGGCACCACCTTGAGCTCTGCTTGACCTGATTTCCAAGCACAAGTGTGCTGTGATTTCTGGTTTGTCTCCTGTCCTCCTCAATTTGCAGAGAAAAATCTTCCCTACAACAAGGCTTGGAGACAATAAACAAGAACAGTAATTTGAAATGCTGATCCTCACCCTTGGGGGAGGCACAATGGTGAGAGGAGGAAGAGCTCCTTGCAGGAGTCATTTGTTCAGTGGGGAGAATTCTTGAGTGCAATCACATTGTCCAGAAGGCGTAAATAAGAGCAATCAGCAATGCCATGGCCACAGCAAGGGCAGCATTCTTGCGATTTTCCTTACGAAGCACACTCAGTTCTTTCTCTGGGAAACAAACAAAAGACTTGTCTGTGAAGGTTCTTCGTGTTGCAGCTGCATCTCCTTCCAAAACTCTCTTAAGAAGCACAAAGCTACCTTGGCCACAGGCAAAAAATTTGGGAGCAGTATGGAAATCTGCCAACAGGGTATTGTGCTGAATGGGAAGTAACTACCCAAACTAGCAGGAGCCCTTTCATTTGCTCTCATCCTGACACTTGTGGTAGCTGTGCTTGGGAATACTTCAGTGCCAGACAAGTTCCTGTTGGGAAATGACATTGCTGTAGGCCTCTACTAAGGACAGACTGTCATTAGAATAACTGTGTGTTCCCTAGGAGAATGAAGGAGACAGGAGGGCAGAGAGCTATTTCTACTATCTTCTAGATGTAACAGCCTGGTAGCTTTTTCTAGTGCTAAAATTTAAATACAACTGTAGCCACCTTTGAATGCTGCAGAATCTGTGTCTCCTTACACCTCAGAAGGATTGTGGAAAAGGTCTAAACCTGGACACTCTTACTCTGTTTGGTATGAAGCTTTTAGTTTTTTAGAGACAGGTAAACCAGGGAGAAGGAAAGCAACCTTAGAACAACAGATGCAGAGAGAGGAACACAGTGGCTACTTCAAGTATGGAGTCTTGCCAATCTCCATTTCTGTTTGGTTCCCTTTACCAAAGATGAGAACCCCACTCTTACTAGTTCTCTTCCAGAAAACTTTGCTGGCTGGTACAGGCGAGCAGCGAGGCCTCCAGCCTTACAGACTGCAAGGCCAAACAGCACTAAGTGTGTGTCAGGCAAGGCTGGGTGTGCACTGTCCAGAGACAGACTGCTTCTGTTGCTGAGTTCATCTGCACAGACTGCACACCTTACTGTCTACAGTTTGCACAAGCAGCCTCCAGCAGTTCTCAAGTGGTGTTGGTAATCAAAAGAGACTTTTAGCTGTTCTTTCTGCCCCATCCTTCACCTAATACAAGCACTCTCATGCAGCCACAGAGCAACCTGCTTGAATGTGCAAGGCCACAAAGGAGTTGACAGGGTCACATAACCTCACACACAGCAGTGCCAGCTTAAACGGATGCATGGCCTCAGTGCATCAGCTGGAATAAGGAAAGATTTAGTCAGAGGCCATACAGTGATGTCACCATTAGGTGAGGCTGTTGCTGCTGTCTGAGCTGCTGTCACACTGCTCTGCTGATGCCCCCAGGGATGGCTGACTGCTGGCTGGTAAAAGGGTGGCAGCAATTTTCAGTCTTCTGCTGTCTCTAGTGGTAGGCCCTTAGGGAACAGCTTTCAGTCTGTTTAAAATAACTGTTACTCTTCTGGAAACAGTCCTCTAGCATGAGTTATAATTACAAATTTGCTGGCCATACCCCAGCTTTCAACCCTCTAGACCCAAAAGAATACTTGTGCCTCTTTTCCTTGTGTGAGCTCTGCTGCTTACACAGCTGCAGAGTACTGCCAAGCAGGTAACACACTGATCAATTCCTGAAGATGTACAAAGCAGCACCTCTAGTGGAATGGAAGTCCTGTCAAGTATGGTATCTCAGAGAGGCTTTCATTCTAAGTGTCTAAGCAGGACTTGCACCAAGGAAGGACCCTGGCTCTCTAGCAGTGCAGGCAGCACGTCAGTGTGAATCGCTATGCTCTTGTGCTGAGTGGCCTCATAAACTGATGCAGTAAGAACCCTCCCCAAGAAAGGTATGTTTTGCTACACTCCTGATAGCACTTACCTTCTTGCCTAGCAAGCCTCTACTAGGAAAAAAAAAAAAAAGGTTGGGGAGAGGGATGTTAAAAGCTACTCAAGCCAATCTGTTAGCTATGATTATCTAAAGACTGGTAATCTGGGGTGTGTGGAGGGGGACATTTTCTCCCCTTCATTAGCTGATGCTTATTTTTTTCCCTATGGAAGTACAGCTCAAGTAGGAGGATGCAGACTCCTATTTTAATATGCTGACTACATTTCCATTAGTTTAGCTCCCTTTGGTTGAAGCTAAATTCAAAGGCAGAAGTCAGAGGTGGCAGGAGCTTGAAGACAAAGCTAAGCTGCAGCACTGATCCCATCCTGCCCAGAGGGACCATTTTTAATGAAGCTCTTACCATAGTTGTCAGCTTTGGTCATTAGTAAGTTTCGCTCTCTCTCCAGTGACTTTCTGTAATGAGAAGAGGAGTTCATTACCTGCGAGGCAGAACACAGCCTATTTCTTTGCTTACATGATGGAAGAGAGACTGTCCCCACTGCGGGGGATATCTGCTCAGAGGACGAGCCCCTCACCCCTCCCTGCTGGAAGGGTGACAGTTTAGAAGTACCCAGTTGAGCAACAGAAGAGATGCAGCATTTTAGATTATTTTTTCCTTCCCCCAAATTGCTTCCTGTCTCTCCTTTCAGGACAGCAGTGTAGACAAACAGCTAGAAAGGGCTCTTGGGTCATTTCCCTGCTCCAGTTCCCCCTAGGTGAGGCAGGAAGTTCTGAAACAGCTATGGGATGGGGCAGGGTCCTTATATGCTCTCTGGAGGATCCTTCCCCCCCACCACATTGGGCTTAGTGCTTGAATAGCAATTCTTCTCACCATTTGAAGCTGGGATCCCTTTGTCAGAGGTATCCGATTTGCAGAAATTGGTGAACTCAAGGAAGCAAACTGAATCCAAGCCCAGTACTAATAGAGTTAAACAACTTGTCATTAGACTCAAGACTCATAATAACAGAAAAGACTAAGTTAGGCCAACCCAGCCCTTGTCTTAAATTGCACAAGATTAATTAATATGCAGATTAAAATATAAACCCAAAATGAAATTCCTGAAAGCAGCGGTGTTTCCATTACGGCAGTGAGGACACGGTCAGTCCTCTCAGACTCTGCACATAAATAAACATGCACTAACAAATTATCTCCTGGTTCAGAGAAGGCAGAAAGTGTAACAGAGTTTGTTGTTCCCCTTGGGGCACAGCAAGAACAACCTGTAGGAGGAAAGAGATCCAAATCTATGTGTACAGCTAGTTAAGTGTAAGGGAGGGCAAGAAAGCAAGCTACATCAGGAGCAGCAGGAGAGGAAAGGGCTCTAGAAGAAAACTGGGTGGAGGGCAGCTAGTAGGAAGTGAGAAGACAGATTTACCAACATGACTGAGCTGCTACTTAGAAATTTGCCTTGTGAAGAGAGTCAAGGGAAGAAGCTTTGAGAAAGAGACATGGAGAAACCATGACAACTGAACTTCAAAGTGGAAAAGCAGAGCTCCTCTTTGTGTGCTCTACACTGAATCGATAATTTTGATCACGGTACCTTCCCTCCAGGGTTTTTCAAAGGGTCTGGAATAGGACAATGGAAGTTCTATTTCCATACAAGCTGTAAAACTCATAGAAGGCCCCAAGAATCTTAATTCATAATTCTTTGCTCTAGGCCCTATATTTCAGTCAGAAACTACCATATATCACATCCTGTCAAGTTCCCGCAGCTGTATGTTTGGTTGTTGGCCACCTAAGCCCCAGATAAAGAATACAGACAGTAACAAGGAGAATTTAGGCCAGGAAAGGATTGTTGAGACGAGGAGCTACAGACAAGAAGAGATAGGACCCTGTCTAAATATTGATGGGGATATAGAACTCCAGTAAAGGAAGAAGGGGAAGTGCAAAGGAGAGTTTTAAGTTTAACAAAGAAGTTAAAGTAAGCCTGATAAATATCAGGGGATGGAGACATCACTATTGCTATGATCATTTCTAATGGGGTTCTACAGGACAGTAGTGTAGAGCGAACATGAGGATCATCAGGACCGCTCCCTGGGCTGATGACTGAGCTTCCCAGCCTTTTTTGCTTGGAGCAGAGCAGTAGGATGCTAGTGACTGAAAAAAATGTCCTCAAGCAGAGAGATTTGAGAATCAGTTGGGACATCTAATTCTCTTGCTTCACACTCAAGAGAAACAGCAGGTTCTGCCTATGTCTACTACAAAATCCAGGCCAAAATCCTTGCCTGACTCCCAGCTCTAGAAGCCAACAACTGCTGCCTCTATGGCAGCCACAGATTTCAGGGGAGTTGTCCCTCTTAGCATTCCCAAGAAAAGCCGGTGTGTTAATTCATCCCTACATCCGCACACATTAGCAACACAGGCATAGATATTTTCCCTCAGCTGCTTTTGCAGCTGGATCCCAGCCTGGTTTGGCCCTCAGTAGTAGTTGCTGCACATCTCCCTGACTGAACCCAGGTGGTTTCAGCAAGGCTTGAGCAGCAGTGTGCAGAAAACCTTTGCCAGATTCACAGAGCAGGTTCCTAACAGGCCAGGAGCCAGGCCTGCAAATGAACTGGCAAGTTTCAGGCACTACTTGTCTGCTTGTGGCACAGGTTGGAGTCAAGCTGTTAATAAGATACAGCTCTCTCTCTATATCACTGCACTTCTCACAGAGGCAAATTCCCCAAGAAAGCTCCAAGCTGTGGGAAGAGAGTTGTGTCATGGGAATGTCACACATTCCCACCCCTTCAAGAGCCCTTGCTTGGTGCTACAGCAGGATGACAGCTAAGCTGAAGTGCACACACTCAGCTGTGAAAGGAGCTGGTCAGCAATACCTTCCTTCGGGGCTGAGCTTCTCCCTGCGCAGCTTCAGGTCCACCTCTTCCATGCTCTGTCTGCAGCGTGCCAGCTTCTCCTCCAGTCCATCAATCTGAAAAACACCACTCCAGTCACCATCATTTCTTCTCCCAGCTTACAAGGACTCATCCCCATGCAGATGGTGGCAGTTCAGCTACTATTCCTCCCCAGATCAAGGGAAGAATCCCAGATCTGTGTAGAGATCACAGCACAGAGAACTCATCATCTCCCAGCTCAGCCTGTATTCTAGCCCAGACAACTGTCACATCTTCACCCCAGACACAGCCAAGCCAGCCCTGACACTGCCTATTGTGTGGCTGGCCAGCACCCTTTTGCTAGATCTGTTCCAGCCTGCTCTAGTTTCTTTGCACGTGGGTCTACAAGGAAAGGTGTGATCTTAGGTATCTTTATGCAATTAGAGGATAAAAGGAGAGACACTGGCCTAAACCAAAGCCTGAGGGACAGGGTCTTATGTTAGCACTGTGAATGGATGCAGAAATCTACAAAGCACCCCCAGCTGTCTGGTTGGGTGAAGAGGGAACAAAGGGATACTTCCAGTCTCTTTTACCCAACTAAATCTACAACAGCAACAGGAGTCTGCACAGTATGGTCAAGAGAGCATTTGCCACTGCCTCTTCAACTTGTACCAAGTGTTGGCAGCAACAAGTTTCTGTGCAGAAAAACACTGGTTATCTCCTTGTGTCTCTTCATCAAGTATCCCGACAGCCACCCCTGTGTCATCCTGTGGAGGGCAGTAACCACAGCTAGGCACAGGAGGGTTCATTTCCTTGTGTGCAAACAGACTGTCCAGGAGGGGATCCTACCATGGACAACAGTTCTGGGAATCACTCCTCTCTTCTGCCTGGCAACCACAGCATAGACATCTCAAGGAAAACTTTGTCTTTCAAGCTTGCTTCCAGAAGGGAAACAGCAGGCCAATCAGACATGAACACAACAACCTAGCCTGAAAGAAAACGGCCTCAGTGCACTAAGGTGGCAGGACCTCTCCTTTGAGCTACAAAGTGCAACACTGCTGCTGTGCCTGGTTCTCCAGGGAAGGCCAAGGCTGGCAGCACGGCCTCCCTGTGGTGGGAGCTTTCACACACCAGACACTAAGAGGCAGCACAGTGCCAGGTAAAGGTGGAATGAGCTGCCTGGACATCAGCCTCAGAAGCAGCCCAGAGCACACACATACTCATAAACAGTAATAAGGGAAACAAAATCAAAGGTAGTGATCCCTAATTATTGCTGCTTTGGGATCAGCTCTGTTCTGATCAGCTCCTGTTAATGAGCTCATTAACAATCTCACACCTTCTGCTCAGGAAAAGCAGGCAAGCATTATAACTAAGCAGGACTGGAGAGAAGAGGCTTGACATAAAGCAGACCATGAAAAGAAGTTTAACCAGTCAGTTAAATAGTCTTGAAGAGGCACAGCAGAGCTGGGGAGAGGGACATATAAGAAGGCTCAAATAAATCTCTGATTTATCAGATAGCAATCTCAAAGTCCTGGGCTATTAGGCAACTCTGCCAGTGCTCAAGATGCCAAACTCCCCAGAGGCACATGCACAGCTTCCTGAGCCCAAGGGGAGCACCAAGGCATGTCACTGATCCCAAAGCTCAGGGAAGAGCACTTCTGTTGCTGGCAATGCTTGGTTTTGCCTGGATGAGGATAATTGTCCTCCTCCATTTCCAGCTGTGCCACTCAAGGATGTTAACTGTAGCTGCTCATCGCCATGTCATGCGCTATAGCTCAGCATGATGCATTGCCCCAGACTGCTTCAGGGCCAAGAAGGGGCTTCACCCAGGCCAGCTCTGACCACACTTATCAGCAAGTTACTTTAAGTACCAGTGTGGTACAGCAGAGGCGGGGTGTTGGTCAAGTGAAATTTAAGGATTACCATCTCCCTCGCCAGTTCCTACCATTTGCAAACGGCAGTTTCTGCTCCCTTAGCTGTTGGAAACCCTTACGTGCACACACAGGAAAAGATGCTTCAGCATGTGTTACCTGGCTCCTCCTTAGCCTGTTAAATTATTACAGTGCACCGTGGCTTCTCTGGAAATATATTTTAAAAAAATGCTAAATAATACATTAAAGAATTAATGAGAGCTTTACTCAGTCAGCTGCCAACCCCACCACTAAATTATCCATGCTATTGCACTCCAATCCTCTCCTCCATGCCTGCTCCTCCTAGCTGGCAGTTGCTCTCACTAGTACATTCTCTGCCCATACTTCCCTCATTTCATGAGACTTAACAAGAGTATATTCTGCCCAACTTTGTCAGTGCTTTCACTTTCTGCTGACTAAAAATCTCCAGATTCCACATAATACTTTAAAGTTTCAACTGGTTTTACTGCTCTTAAATCAAACCCCAAGTTTGGGTCCCCTGCTGGAGAGCAATAATTTGCTAATAAACCACATGCCCCAGAACTGCACCATCAGCTGTGCTGAGCTGGGGGCACAAGGGATAAAAAATAACCAGAAAAAAAAGAAAAAAGCAAGCAAGGAAGATTGCTGAATGAACAAAATACTTTTCTTTCAGAATCTCACTACTTCTTTTCTTCTGGCTAGCCTGGCTTATTAGGGGTTATAAGGAAGGACAAGAGTGGGGATTTACAGATGTTATCCATTCACTGTGCCTCAGTTTCCCCACTTATAAATTAAGACAATAAATTCTGCCTCCTGAAGGCAGCTCATTTGAATAAGAAGCTTCAGACACCAACCCAAACTGTGGGCAGAGCACTATCTTGATATGTCAATGCCATTGCCTTGCTTGGCATTTAGGAGCTGCTCCTGCAAGCCAGGAGTCCCTCAACAACTCAGCCATCCAAGTAACTCTTCACTGCAGAACAAAAGAAATACAGAAAAGAAACTAAGCACAAGGAAAAAAATTAGAGTAATATCTGGGAACTACTGCTTACTCTCTGGGCTGCTAAGGAAACTCCTAGGGGGGGCTGTAGTCTGTAAAACTGTAGCACAAGAAAATCTGTAGGGCTTTGCCCTAATTCCCTGCTACAGCTAGCCCTCCAGGAGAGCAATCCTAGAAGCAGATGCTCACCTGAGCTTGCTGTGGATGGAAAGCTTTCCCTCCTACTAAATAATATGTGAGGTTAGTTGGGGTACATACCTGGGCACAATGGAAGCCCAGAGGAAAACAAGGAGCCGAGCTCGCTTAGCTGAACCACCCTTGCACTTCACACTTGCATTATTTCTTTAGTGGCAATCTCAGCACAGTGCCTCCTAAGTTGCAAAGATGAACCTCTCCTCCTTTTAGCTCTCCTTTCCTTGAAGGGGATCTTCTGGGACACAGCTGAAATGCAGCAAGCAGAAAGCTCACATGACAGCTCCTCAGGTTCACACAGATGGTAACAGGGACACAGGACTTCATTCACAGCAACATCTTTAAGTAGTTTCAGTTAAAAAGGGGGAAGGAAACATGTGCTTCACATCCAGGCAGCAGATGTGGGCACACAGAGCTGCCCTTCTGAAGCTCCAGAAAGTCAAGTCCCAGCAGCTTTGGATCCACGCAGGGATCTAAGACCAGATGCCTCCTTTGCTCCACAGGTATGACAAGACATTCAGCTACTTTTGCTGAATTCTGGCAACACCTGCTCATGATCTGGAAACCTTTTTAAACTAGAGAGACCTGGAATGGATTTCAATCCAAACTGACTTACATGCTTATTACAAATTCCATTTGTTGGGACCATCTTGGGCAGAGAGCCCAAAATGGCTCACATAAAGGCAGAGAGAAAGAGAGAAATGAAAAAGAAGCAGGTTTGCTTATAGAATTGAGCTGGATCCCATTTAATACATTTTGTAGCGAATTAATGAAGGCTTTCTTTCCAGCAGAAAGGCTAAAAGCGCTTTTCAAGAACTGGCATCCACCCTCTGCTTTCATGAATTCCCTAATTAAGATACTGGCAAGGAGCCATATCACACATACGTCGACATCCAACAGCATTAGGTAATGAGGTTTTCATCTTCTGACCCTCATAAAACACATCAAAGCCAACTGAAGAGGTGGGGGCAAAGAAAAAACCCCTTCCCTGAGCAGTCTTTACATGCCTTGTCACCTGCCAGCACACTTGAGCTGTTCTTTCACAGAAGAATTAATGGTTCCTGCATCCACAAATTTGGCTGGATTATTAAAATCAGTCCAGCAGAGACAAATTTTGTTTAAATTCAAGTGCTAACTTGCTGTTCATGGACACACTTCCATTTTCTCCATGCTCTTGGAATCATTTTGCACGCTGGAAAATCATTTCACAGACATGCCGCCCACAGCATGCTTGGAAATATTTACCAGACAAGCTATTCACAGCAGAGGACGATCCACCAGCAAAGATGGCTCCTACAGAACAACCCTGTGTGCTGCTAAAGGAGGAAAGGCTGGATCCTACCTCCACCTCCTCCTTCAGCTTTGCAGGCACCACCTCGTTAGTCAGCCCATCCTGCCTCAGCGCAGAGCAGCGGCTTTGCAGGACTGCACACAGGCATGACCACAGAGCAGTGAGCCACATTTTCAAAACTTCTGCCTGAACAGCTTCACTGAGCACAAACTGTGTCGGCTTTCCCCTATTCTTTATGTTCCTCCACAGACACTGATCAGCCATTGCCCTGTCAGAAGCAGCAACACATGTAACAATACTTTACAAAAGCACACACGTGACATTTTGCTGCCCAGGCACTGCCTTTAATTTAATGCACTTTTCTGCTTCTCTGATATTTTTTTTTCAGTTGTTGCCTGAACCGCAATTATATTTTTAGTGGTTACAATATTCTTTGGCGAGAAGTTTCACAGCAGGTTATGGGAAGAACCAACCCCTCCTGTTTGTTCTGAGCTTGTCAGCTGCTGGTTTCATTTGATAGCCCTAACTTTGTATTGACAATGTATGTTCATTCTTTGTTTAAAGCTACAAATAGCATGCAGAGGCTATAGGCCTATATTGGGTCCCTTGCAGTCATATTTTCCAGCTTAAAAGGACCTGAAATGCTTGGTAGTTTCTTGCATAAAGCTCTCCACACCTTTGGTCATCCTTGTCACTCTCTTGAGTTAATTTCATTTTCACTGTTTTGGTACAAAATGGACCAGTCTTGCCAGTTTCATTTTCCTGATGAATTTCCTTAAGCAAGTCCTATGCAGCTCAGCATTGTCAAGAGGGCTGCCTGTCAAAAGACTAGAGCTATATGAAAGAAGTGGCACGAATTTAAACCAACATAACATTATGGAGAGCCATTTATATCCATTTAAAACAGATCATATCAATTACGCCTGCAATTTGTAAGTGCAAGGTAATCTGATAAGTGTCCATATAGAAAATTGCATTCATTTAGCATCATGACTTCAGTTAAACAAGCATGACTCTGCCTAGATGAGGCCTTTCAAAGCTAGTCATGCATCACACCACATTAAGACTCGTTTGAAAAGTTTTCTTTACAATCATAACAGCTCAGAAGGTAATACTGAACAGAGTAATTTTAACTTATGAATCAAGTATCTTGGTAGTCATGCAAACTAAAACACAGCCCTCTCTTCCTCTGGCTTAAAGGCATTTTTTTCCTTCCTCCCTAACCTCTCTTCAGTAGTGTTCTCATCACTGCAAGTGGAAAGAATTTTATCTGGTAGTAGTGTCTTTGCACTGTCCTCCTTCCAGACAGGAGTTTTTTACCTGTAACGCACAAAAAGGAGTAGTTCTACAATCCCTTCAAAACTAGTATTTCCATCCTGAAAACTTCTAAAAACTACCCCAAAACTTAATCTAAAGCTACTACAAGTCCTCAAACACTTTGCAGGAATTTTCTGTGGCAGCTCAAATTAGTCCCTTTTCATTCTGTGAACAGCAGGTCCCTAAGAGGCTGAGCCATTTTGCCACCCCTCTCCCCTCTTTTTGTAAGGTAGACCCTAGACCCTAACATCTTAACACTTCTTGTCTACCAATTCTCAATCCACAACCACAAAAAAAAAAAAAAAAAAAAATTGTCTGGTAGGCTCACCAAAGGAAGCCTGGACAGTCAGCAAAGCCCTCTGGACTCCCTTTGGTGGTTATATTTGGGTTGGAGTGCCCAGAACTGTGTTTCTCTAATGCAATCCTAACCAATGAAACACACCAGATAATCATAAACCAAACTCCCATTCCACACAGCAGGATGAGAGGGGGTCTCATCAATACATATAAATATCTTAAAGGTGGGTGTGAAGAGGTTAGTGCCAAACTCTTTTCAGTGTCACCCAGTGAAGCAATGATGAGGAGCAATGCCTGCAAACTAAAACACAAATTCCAGCTCAATAGGAGGAAAAAACCTTTTTACACAGAAACAGACCACTGGAACAGGCTGCTCCAGCAGGCTGTGGGGTTTCCCTCTCTGGAGACATTCAAAATGTACCTAGTCACATTCCTGTGTGATATGCTCTAGGCGACCCTGCCCTGGCACGGGGGTTGGATGAGATGATATCCAGAGGTCCTTTCCAGCCCTAAGGAGTCTGTGACACTCACCTTAATGTTACTAGCTGGTGACATATGGCATGCCCTGCCATTTCCCTGGCCTTTTCATTGGTTACATTGGTCTGTTGTGCATGTGCTCACCTGAAAACACTTCAGGGCAGAGAGGTGACCAGTGAGACTCACTGAATGAGTTGTGCCCCATTGCAGCCATTTGTGAGGAACATTCAGGATTTACTGTCCCCACAGACCTGAACTCAAACAGACTTGAGTCCAGACAGCACTGTTCAGTGCAGGAGCCAGAAAGGCATGTGCTTCAGGGAGATCCTAACTAACACAACTCAGGTTGTTTGCAGAAAGACAAAGCTTCAGCAGAGCTTACCAGCAGCCCTCCTGCCACCCAGGACATCACAGTACAGAAGGGGTAAGATTTGAAGGGACCACAGTGCTCCATCTGCTCCAACCTCCCTGCTCAAGAAGAGCCATCCTCAAGCACATGGCACAGGTGCAATCTCCAGTGAGGGAGACACAGACAAAACACTCAAGCACAATGAAAAGGCAGCCTTAGAAGGAGGACATAGTCTTGAAACCCAGCCTTTCCCCTTTCTCCTCGCTGTGATTACAGCCCCTCACATGCCGGTTTATCACTGGGCTCCCTCAAGTAGCAGCAGCACACAGCTGACTTCCAGCGCCGCACGCACACAACGGGCTGGTGGTCACGGCCCGCCGCAGCACCCCCACGGGCACGCACACACCCACGGCCCCTCACGGCACTGGCTCAAGGGCTCGGCAGGAGCAAGGACACCGCACGCCATCGCTTAAAGCGGGAGTAAGGCTGTGGCTCCAAGCCCCCCGCCAGCCCGGCCGCCGCACGCCCCTCACCTCCCGGGCCACGCTGGGCCCCGCTCGCCGCCTGCCCATGGTCCGGCCCCGCCCACCGCGCATGCGCAGGGGCGCCCCGTGCGCCACCGCCCTGGAGCGGGGCCGCGCTGGGCTGGGCTGGGCGGGTGCCATGTTGGGAAGGGCAGTGCTGTCTGCCCGCGCCCTTGGAGCCGCTACCCTGGGACCGGGTCTGGCCCTGCGGGCCCGCTCGGGTGGCTCCGACACAGCCGAGGGCGAGCGGCAGCCAGGGCACTGCCTCCCGCGTTGTGCCGCTGCTGGCCCATCCTGCTCTGTCCTCTCTAGTGGTAGCAGGTGAGGGGTGGCTGCGGGAGGACCTGCAGGCTGGGAAGCTGAGGTGGGACTTCTTGGTCATGGCTGGTCCTGCCTCTCCGCCCCTCAGGAACCCCGGCTCCCTCGGGTGCTGTCTGGGCAGACCTGAAGTGATCGCTTGGTTTTCCCGCAGGTGGAGCCAGCGCATTCCTGGCCGCTCCAGACCAGGGCCTGTAGTGCCGGGGGTCACTCAGGAAAAAGGCAGCCTCGGAAACCCAGGCAAACCCAGAACGGCTGCTTTGTGGTGTGTTGGGATAAATGAGAAATTTTTGGGGCATCAGGAGGGATTTCTTCACTGAAAGGGTTGCCAAACGTTGGAACAGGCTGCCCAGGGAGGTGGTGAAGTCACCATCCCTGGAGATGTTAGGGAAAAAACGATGTGGAGCACAGTGTCGTGGTCTAGTTGACAAGGTGGTATTTCATTACAGGTTGGACTCAGAGGTCTTTTCCAACCTAATTGATTCTGTGATTGTCTTATTCAGATTGTCCTTGTGGCTTCCTACTCAAACGCTAGCGTTGTGCTAAAGCAGCTGAGGAAAAACTGGCTGTGTGATCTACCTGGAAATAGCACTTTGTGCATGCCAGCCAGTTCAGTGCAAGATACTAATCATGATGTTACATATGCATGACAACACTTATTCTCACCAAGAAAGCTTTTTATGAAACACTGTAATCTTGTATTAAAAAAAAAAGCCAACACCCCTGAAGTGCATCTGTCTTCAGGGTAGGACATGGCTGCTACATGACAGAGAGCAGCAGTGCTATTTGCTGGCAAAAACGAAGGCTGGGCAGCAGCAGCATTTATTAGACATACAGACTGAATTTTCATTTTGACTAAATACCCTCTGCTGACTGAAATTTTGCTAGAACGGCAGGAGTGCAGATGTGTGCCACACAAGCAGTGATGATACTGATACCTAATTAGTGTGTTTCATTTTTCTTTCAAACACCCCTCCCCCCTTTCTTAATTTTTACTGTGGGAGGTAGCATGTGTTGGTAACAGCATCACTCTCATTTTATGTCTGGAGAAAAATGAGGGACAGCTGGACTCTCTTCTGCTTCCCAATGTGGTACTTGACTCTATGCAACAGAGTCTGTACTTCTGAACCCAAAGGAGCCAGAACTCCCATCTCCAAGCTGAGACACTGTGAGATAACTGCTTTCCAATTCAGAAGGCAGTAAAGAAGCTGAGTAGGACCCAGCCAGCAGCCCTGGGGAAGCACAGCATCAGGGGGAGGGAGAAAATGAAAAAGTGGGAGATTGTTATTTTTTCCCATCTTAGACAGAAGACTTGATTAGTGAGTGTAAATACAATCTAAAAATGCATAGAGGTTTGAAGAAACCCATCTGTTATGGTTTACAATGGGCTGAAATAGCCATTAGTTCAACAGAAAGCATTTTCTCCTTCACAAAGGTGAGTATTGATTCAGGGGAGGACTGTCAATTCTCACATACACCTCTCCACAGGGAGACAAACATGCAGCATTTTGTGGGCAGATGACTGTGACCTTTGTTGTCACATCTTTTGGGAAGACAGAAAAGGGGAACTGGTTCCTCCCTCACAAGCAAACCCCCATTCCCACCATTGCAAGCAGCAGTTTTCAATTCATGCATTACTCCTCCTGGCACCCCTAAATCCATCAAGCTCATAACCTCATTATGCCTGTTACCTGGTTTTGAGTCACCTGGTTCTGCCCTCAGCTGGCACCTTTTCTTCATCCATCCCTGTTATGTCTTCATTTCCTATGTAATGTCATTCATGTCATCTACATGCTAATGCAAGAAAGAAAAACTTCCTTTTCCTCTGCAAATTTATGGTATGTTTCTTCTTGAAACATGAAGGACAGATCTGGGGGTTTTTCACATGCATTGACATCAGCTTCCATGATTTAGAATATTCACAGACAAGAGTACGAGTTTGAACTTCTCCATATCAAGCAGCTGCTACTGTCAACATGCATATCTAAGCTGGAAATCAAAAGTTTTTAGCTTTGAGAGCATATTATGGAACACACCTCCTGCAAGAAAGGTGGGAGGAAAAGAATTAAATGGTTTTTAGTAGGCTCTGGAATGGGATGGTCTAACAGAAAGCCTATGAGAGAAAGGTGCAGGATGTGATGACATACAGGTGGGCATCAAACAACATATCCAGTAATGAGACTGGATATGGTCCTGGTGAGACCCTGTTCAGTGTCCCTGATTATGCTGTCCCTACTGCATCCTTGCAGCCAAAATGAGCGACAAGGTGGTGGTAGAAACTGAAAATACACAAGTGTCAGCCTTAAAGGAACATTCATTCAGGAGACACTGCACTATGTGTCCAGAGGCAGGATCAGATACACTGATGCCACTCAAGCAGGTGTTTTCCTTACCCGTGCATAACACAGCAGGAATGCTGGCACCTCCTCAGCACCTGTTACACTGCTCATTGACTGGCAGCAGGGAAGGTTTGTCTCCTCTCTGTAACCTAATTGAGTTTGTTGCATCTTGACCTATTCTCAGCACACATGGGGAGCAATTGATCAGCATCTTCTAACAACCTTATGTATTTGAGGTTCATTATCATATGCCCTCTTCAGTTTTCTTCCTGTTAGTCCTCTTCTTTCAATCCTGTGCATTTTGCACCTCCTATACTGTTTGTTACCATTCTCCCATCCAAACCTAGACTAATCCTATCTAACTTGGGTGTATTGAGAAAGCAAAAAATTATCCCCTTTGTCTTATAGGCAGTGTGCCCTACTGATGCAGAAGGAAATTTGTCTTTTAATTCAATACTTTCACAATGGCAATTCATATTTGGTTCACAGCCCTGTAACTTCTCACTGTTTTCTCAGTGCTGAAGTCTAGGTAGGTGTTACCCTATACCCTATTACCCAATTTCTTTATTGGTGCATTTAATTTCTTCCCCTTCTCAGTTCAATATTTTGCACCAGTTTTATGAAATTTTAGCTGGCTGAATGTGAGCTATTTCTCCATTTTGCTAAAATATTTTTCCCCTATTGTGCCTTCTTGCATGATCTTCCAGAAGCCAACTATGCATTTTATAAATATACTTTATGTGATTATCCAAGTCACTGGAGAAACCAGTTGATAGATCTGTTTCTTGTAAGTCCTCCTGATCTGATGACAAACTACTGATAACTAGTTTCAGAGTGCATACTATGACAAATATGGTTTCAAAAAGCCTTACTACACATCAGGATAGTCTGCATTGCTGGGCTTGCTCTCTCTACTATTTCAGTTACTGTGACAAAGAAAGCTAAGCAGTTTGCATTATTTGTTCTTGGTTTTTCTCTGCTGGCTTTTTTGAATTACCTGATTATCTTTAAGTGATAACAAATTGATTATTTAATATTTTTTTCCACATTTATTGAGGAGATGGGAAAGTAATGGCTGAGGAATCAAAGTTTTCAGGAAGGTTTAGGAGCACTTGCTGATTTTTATCGGGGCAGTGCTGACTTTGTGGGTAATTTAATAGAACAGACATTAAGTCTTCACTACTAATTAAGTCTTTACTAGTAAATTAAGCAACATCAGGAAACGTTCCTAGAATACAAACTCAATCATCAGATTTAAGTGTCAGCATACCCCTAGCATGATTTTATTTGGTCCCACTAGGACTGTTCCAGACAATTTCCAGGCATGATTTGGGAGTTATAGGCAGAGGACCATTCCCAATGGGCTGCTCAATGAGGTCATGGTTTCAGAGGTGAAGAGAATTTAATACTATGGATGTGAGCCATTTGGTGCTAGTTTACAGGATGTATCTAGGACAGTGTTCCTGGGCACTCCTGATTTACTACCTTCCTACCTCTTTTTGCATTCTCCATCTGCAAGATTCACTGTGCTTTGTAAGGGCAAATGAGTCAGTCCTCTGACAAGTCTGAGAGGAAGCTGAGGCCAGATGTCTCACTTTATTGATGTGAGGCAGTATCTGACCCAATCTTCACAGCAATGAAGTAGCTGGGCTAGCACTGAATCAGGGGCCTGACCTCTTATGCTTGGCTATACCATGGGGAGCAGCCCTTTGTGTCCCAAGCACATCCTTTCCATCTTGTCTGGCCATGTCTCAATGGGCCATGAGAGAGGAGGGGACCTTCCAGGAACCTTCTGAGAACAGGTGTCCCCCAGCATAGTGAGTGTCCAGCTCTAGCCCAGTGTTATGTCTTCTCTCCCTGGCCACTGGGGGCACAGAAGGAATGAGGTCCCTGTGCTGTGTCGATGGAGAACCATCTCTGCAGGGAAAAGCAGAGGTGAGAGCAGGCAGGGTGAGCTGGCCTCTGTCTGTATACTTGCACCTGTGAAGAGATGGAAGGAAGCCTCATGATGCTGAAGGCAGCCAGGAATGGGGAATCCCTGGGACGTGATGACTCCTAACACATTGGAATAAGTAGAAGATTTCTCTGGGGCAGAGGTTGTGTGTTGACCTCCTAGGGGAAACAAAAACTAAGTGCAAACAAAGCAGACAACAAGCTGAGACGTGCTGTGAGCTAGAACTCAGCTATGGAGCTTAATTATTCCCCCACTTCCCTCTTGTAGGACCAACATATAAATTCCCTGCCTTCTCCCCAAGCTCTATAAGCAGGGATGAAATTGCCTCTTTGCAATGATGACCAGGGGACAAAAATTCCAGTGCAGATATGTCTGCCCCTACCAGCAAAGACAGTAGAATTAAATACCACCAGGGAGCAGAAGAGCAACAAAAAGCACTGTCAGATTTCAGATGTTTGAAAGATGCTTCTGTAGTGTGGGATGTTTTTTTCCTCTGGGAAGATAAATATTGAGAATCCAATGGACTGCAT